TTCCATTTTTTCGTAATCCTTATTTTTTTTTTTTTTTGAGACGGGAGCTTCTTGGTCTGTCACCCAGGCTGGAGGGCAGTGGCCAGATCTCGGCTCACTGGCCAAGCTCACGCCTCCGGGTCACACCAATCTTCCTGCCTTCAGCGCCGAGTAGCTGGGACTACCAGGCACCGCCACCTCGCCCGGGCTAGTTTTTTTGTATATTTTAGTAAGGAGGACGGGGTTTCACTGTTTGGCCAGGGATGGTCTCGATCCCCTGACTCGGATCCACCTGTCTCGGCCTCCAAAAGTGGCTGGGATTACCAGGGCTATGAGCACACGCCCGGCCCAGTTATCTTTGCTATCTTTATAAAAGGGGCATTCAAACTTAGCTCATTTAAACTTATATATTAGGTTTATGATCCCGTGTTTTTTAATCTTTTAATATTTCTGTATACTCGATTAGGATACTTCCCTTCATCATTTATTACTTTATCCAAATTAAATTCCTGGCCAGGCACGATGACTCACACCCTGTAATCCAGCCACTTGGAAGGCTGACCACAGCGATCCAACCTGAGGTCAGGAGTTTGAGCAGCTAGCGGACCCAACATGGAGACCCCGTCTCTAGTTAAAAATTTACAAAAATTAGCCCGCATAGGATGGTGGGCACCTGTAATCCCAGCCTCCCTCAGGGAGCCTGAGGCGAAAGAATCTCTTGAACCCAGGAGGCAGGGTTGAGGTGGCCGGAGATCGTTGCCGTTTGCATGCAGCACCTGTGAGTGACGAGTGAGGACTCCTGTTGTCAAAAAGAAAGAAAAAAAAAAAAAAACGTTAAATTCTCACTGGCAGAACCCATTGATTAAGGTTGTTTGGCTTTTTTTAATCGTCATGGTTAATTAATTTATTTAACTTGACCCTTCCAAAAGGAAGCTATTTTAAAACATTAATAGAACCTTAAAGGAAAATCCTCACTGTATTTATTCTGATAAACTGGGTTCGAATTTAAGGAAAAAGTGCCTCACTTGAAGGTTGACTTATACTACAGCAATGTCAGGTAGATTTCACAGGAATACTTGTACTGTCATGATGTGAGTGAACCCCAGAAGATAAGGATGCTTCATAATTAATGCCTCCAGCTCTTAACATATGCAGCCATCTGCGCTCTCCCCTGCGCAGTCTGCCGGTTTGTTAATAATGCATTCACGTTTGTCTGTAGCCCATACGAGCTGTATGACAGGAGGGATCAGAAAACACAATCCATTTCACCCAGTCTAAGTTGCCAGTCGGGTGTGGATAACAGGTCAGTTTATTGTTAGCTGTAGTTTCAAGTGAGAGTGACATGACTCAAAATAATGTGACCAAACTAAGAGAAGAACATGTAATCATGTTGGCCGTCATACCGACAGTGCAGAGGCCAGCAGCCCAGTCCTGAGGATCCCAGCCTCCGTCCAGCTCACCTTGCTTTGAAGACAACGCCACCACTGTCCCAGCACCCAGTGACCGGAGAGTGGATGGGGTCACCCTGGCTCCTGCCTGGGCACCTCGTTCTACCCCGGCCTCTGCTGCATTTCCTGGGTAATTCACTCTCCATCCAGGCTGCTGTCAGAGAAGGCCCTGGTGCTGTCATTGCCAAGTTTTTTCTTCTTTTCTTTCTTTCTTTTTTTTTGAGGCGGAGTCTCGCTCTGTCACCCAGGCTGGAGTATAGCAGCACGATCTCGGCTCACTGCAACCTCCGCCTCATGGGTTCAAGCGATTCTCCTGCTTCAGCCTCCCAAGTAGCTGAGATTACAGGCATGCACCACCATGCTCAGCTAATTTTGTATTTTCAGTAGAGACGTGGTTCACCATGTTGGCCAGGCTGGTCTCGAACTCCTGACCTTAGGTGATCTGCCTGTCTTGGCCTCCCAAAGTGCTGGGATTACAGGCGTGAGCCACCACGCCCAGCCCCCTCAATGTAGTCTTAGTAGATGAGCAGTCCTAGTTCCCAGATCAGATGGGAGAGCCGTAAGACCGGGTCCAAGTTGCCCTGTGCTGTGAGGAAGAGCCGTGACTGTTCCACTGAGGCTTGAGAGACGACCTTGGAGGGGAGAGGGTTAGAGGGCAGGCCAAGGGTTGTCGGATCACAGTAGAAAGTGAAGTTGGCACGATTCCAGTTGCCATCAACTCCCTGCTGGCATGTAATCTGCATGCAGGTTGGAGTCATCAGAAACCAGAACCTTCTCTGATAGAAAACAGGGAAAGCACCGAGCCCCCATCTTGTTGACAGTGCTGTCCGGGGCTCGCTCCTGAAGAGGCTGTGAGATCCAGGGGTACGTGTGATCTTCTGGCTGGGGAGGTACCAAGGCCACAGACCCCGACCCCTGTGCAGAACCATGTACTCCCCGCCCAGGCTTGGTGCGCTGGAGGGAATGAAAATAAAGAACCTCTTAAAATTTAGTTGGAGAAATAATAAAATATCATTTTCCATAGTCAAACAGAATAGGATGAAATAACAGCAAACACTTCTCTGACACAGTTCCGAGAGCCTTGTGTATATGAATTCGTGCAATCCCATAGTCATCCAATGAGGCGAGGACTGTCATTGTCCCTGTTTCACAGACAACGGGCCGAGGGCTCCTCTAGCTTTCCCATGCCTCACAGCTGGTACATGCAAACCCACGGCTTGAGCCCCAGCAGTGTGGCTCGGGTCTGCTGCACTGACCCATGTCCAAGTTGTTACGTGCACAAGGGATGCTACAGACGTTTATGAGACACACACGGCGGTGGCTGTTATACATTATCACTGGGGAGCTAAATCCATCGGGGTCCCGGTTA